TGTAAAATAGAGCTGCCAGGTTGCTGACGGGGACGGGGCGTTATGCTCACATGACTCCAGTCCTCCGTCAGCTTCACTGGCTTCCCACTGAAGTCCGGGCCCAATTCAAGGTGTTGGTGATGACTTATAAAGCCCTAAACGGCTTGGGTCTTGGCTACCTGAAGGAGCGCTTACATCCATATACGCCTGCCCGCCCCTGAGATCTGCGGGAGAGGCCCTTCTCCAGGAACCCTCCATGAAGGAAATTAGGAGGGTAGGTACTCGGAGGAGGGCTTTCTCTGCGGTGGCGCCCAATCTATGGAATGCGCTCCCCAGAGAGGTCCGCCTGGCACCGTCATTATTTGTTTTTCGGCGCCAGGCGAAGACCTTTTTAGTCAAACGTCATTTTAATTGTTACTATTATTTCCTATTTTATTCTTTGGCCAGGGCGACTTATTTTATATTGTAAATTCGTTTTATATTTTTAATGTATTATATTTTAATGGTTTGTGAGCTGCCTCGAGGCTTTGGCGAATGGGGCGGCATAGAAATTTTCTAAATAAATAAATAAATGTTTGTTTTTTGCATTAGTAATCTAATGCAAGATTATGCTGTGGCTTTGTTTTTGGATGGTCTGGGAACTTTTATGTATGGGACAGGGTATAAAAGTTTTAAATAAAAATAAATTACATGCCCAGAGAGTCCTACATTGGCCTATAGGCTGCAGTATATAAAAATAAATAATCTGGTGTACATTTCAGACTGTGGTGCTTGAAATAAATATACAAAAGCGTATGGATGTACATGTGGTTGCATTGCAGTGAGAACATTGTGCCTGTAATACGTATGCCACAACCTTAGAATGAATTTAGACCAGTTTGACTTTAATGGTTCACTATCAAATAACTTACACTTCCTCCATATCATATTACAAGATTTTTTTGACTACACACGCATCCTGACAAAAAACTGGTCATCTTTTGTTCCCTTCTTACCCTGTTTTTTGTAATCTCTTCCCCAATGAAAAGATCTGGCAATTTCAAAAGCTTACTGTGATTTTTCAGTTAGCCTAATAAGTTTTGTGCTGTATGGAACACAGTTTTTGTAAACTGTGGTGATATTAAGATATTTATTTCTAAAAATGTGATCCTTCAGAAATACGATTTTAAGGGTCGCCTTGAAAGACAATGTCCACTTTCAGGTTTCTTTTCCCGTTTTCCCTTTAGGGAGGACAATTTTGGGTGTAGGACGCACTGCCTGCCGGGACTTGTAGTTTGATTCGTCCGATTCTCACAGCAGCAAACCCTCGATCCCTCTCCCCAGCGAATACTTTCTCCCAGCGCCAGAGTTAACGTCACCACCCCGCGCCGCAGCATCTTGTCGCCTTGGTAACCAAATGGCCGATGGGCCTCCCGTGAGCTGGAGAAATGAGCGGGCGCCGGGGCCGGACGGGCCCGCTGCAGAGTGCGCTGCGTCGGGGCCGAGAGCTCCGGGAGCAGGTGACTTCTCTGTTGGTCTCCTGGGATTGTACGGGGATTTCTCCTCGTAGCGCCGAGACAGTCGGCGGGGAGAAGGAAGGAGAGAGACGAAGGGCGCTGCGGGAGTCAGACTGCCGGCTCGCCTCCTCAGCCCGGGGCTTCCTTGTGGCCGAGTGGAGAGACGGCTCCGGCCGTTGATGGGGACTGTTTCTCCTGCGTCGCTCGCACGGGGTTGTGCAGCGGCAGGCCCCTTTCCTAAGCGGGCTCCCTGGCTGTTTTCAGCAGCTTCTCGTCGCAAGAAGCCTTGAGCATCTGCGTTGAAATTGAGACCGCATCCAGCGTTACTCGAAATCAAGCCCCATTCATTTTAGTGGATCTATTCTAAGCAGCTAATGGTGAATGCAGCCTTTCCCCAAGATGTAGAGATGGCCACCCATTTGGACAGCATTAAGAGGAGGTGCGTGGAGGCGAAAGCTGTCAATGGCTTATAGTCCTGATAGCCCTATCCTCCCGCCAGTCTGAGAGGCAGTATGCCGATGACGGCCAGGTGCTGGAGAACATGGGGTGGGGAGGGTGCTCTTGCACTCTGGCCTGCGTGGGCAGCCGAAAACGGACAGTGTGAAGAAAGTGGTGGACTAGATAGCCCTTTGGTCTGATCCAACACAGCTCTTTATGTATTCTTGGGTAGTTTTATTCTAAACAGATAAGATCACTACAACAGTAAGCGGTGAAGTCGTGAGTAGTGAAGTGGCCAGATTTGCTGATGATGCTAAACTTTTAGGGTGGTTAAAACCAAAAGGGAGTATGAGAAGCTGCAAAGGGATCTCTAAGCTGGGAGAATGGGTATCAAAATGGCAAACGCAGTTTAGTATAAGCAAGTGTAGGGTAATGCATCTTGGAGCAAAAAATCCCAACTTCAGTGATACACTGATGGGATCTGAATTGGCAGTGACTGAGCAAGAAAGGGGTCTTGGGGTTGTAGTGGACAACTCAATGAAAATGTCAGCCCAAAATAGAGCTGCCAAATTTTTTATTTCCCTTATACAGATAGCTGATGCTACTGTACTTGGAATATTGTGTTCAGTTCTGGTTGCATTACCTGAAAAAGGACATTATTGAGTAGGAAAAAGTACAGAGAAGGGCAACAGAGATGTTCAGGGGGTTGGAGCAGTTCCCTAAAGAGGAGCAGCTACAACAGCTCAGACAGTTCAGCTTAGAAAAAAGGTGAGTGAGGGGGGACTTGAGAGAGATGTTTAAAATAATGCATCTTGTGGGGAAAGTAGAGAGGGACATTTTTCTCCCTCTCCCATGACACTTGAACCAGAGGTCATCCCATGAAGCTGATTGGTGGGAGGTTTAGAACAGATAAAAGAAAGTAGTTCTTCCCACAATATATAGTTAACTATGGAATTCACTGCCATGGGAAGTAGTGATGGCCGCCAGTCTGGATGGCTTTAAAAAGGATTGAACAGATTCATGAAGGAGGATGCTATCAGTGGCTACAAGCCTTGGTGGCTATGTGCTACCACCTTTACAAGAGGCAGCATGTCTTGATACACCAGTTGCTGAGGAGCTGAGCAGGTGGAGGTCTTGCGCCCATCCTGTTTGAAGGATCCTGTGGGCAGCTGGTTTGCCACCATGTTTACAGATTGCCTTACAGATGGACCTTTGGTCTGATCCAGCATGGCTTTTATTATCTTCCATTATTATTTAGGCTGCACTCATGTACTACTGACCTGGGAGTAAGCACTGCTAGACTCAATAGGATGTTCTTCTCAGTACACATATATCGGATTGTGCTGCCATATAAAGCTTGTTAGTACAAATAACCTCTTGAAAAGAACTACAAGGACACAAAACTAAATGGTCAGTTTAAAAAAAAAAGTAAAAAAGCAAGAGAAAATTTCTGTAAAAGTCTGGAAAAAAAACCAGGCTATTGCAGTTTTCACAGAATCAGTATCTTAGTAGCATATTTCTCTCACATAAAAATACTCAGGCTGAACTGATTACTATAATTCATTGTATGAGTTGCAGCCATATCTTTCAGTGCAAACTAATTCAGGTCTTCTCAGAAGTAAACCCTATTGAATTCAGTGGGCTTTACTAACAGGCAAGTCCATTTAAGATTGTGGCTTTATATGTCAATCCAATATCCACTTACTTGGGAGTGATCCTTAGTTAAACCCTTCTGTGTTGACATGTATAGGACTGCTCTCCTTTTGGTTTTACACACTTGAAACTGTACAACTATTTTTTTTAACAAAGTGAATCTGAATCACAAAACATTTTAGGTTGGTGTTTTACTTCAAGAAAGCAAGGACATAGGAGTTCTGGATGCTGAAAAAAAGAAAAGCCTTAATCAGAGGTAATGTATATTTGAATAATTATTTTTATAGGAGTGATACAAATATATGCAATATTAAAGTTGCAACACTAACACTTACTGGTGGTTATTAGTTGATTTTTTAAAGATGTGAACAGATTAGAATAGTGATCTAAAAAATGGAGGCTACAGGCTGATACATAATTATATAGACTAAAGCTTAATTGAAATTACGTGGATTTACTTCTAAGTATATACAGGCAGTCCCCAGGTTATGAGTGTCTGAGTTATTTACAAATGAACTCATATTTACAAATGAACTGCCATAGCCTATTAAAAAATACTGTAGAAAATCATCATCACTATAAGAGAGAGAGGAAGCAAAAGGGCAGAGAAGGAGGCATCCAAAGCAAACCTTTCTGCCCTGCCTATCTTGAGGGAGAACTCTCTCCAGCATCTCCTTGCTGCAAAGAGGAGACACTGGTGAGTTTGGGTGGTGGTGGCTAGAAATATTTGCAGTTTTTCCACTTTGATAGGGGTCCTGTGCCCCCCACACCCTCAAATATGGAGATCCAGCTAAACATGATCTGCATTATATAAAAATTCAACTTAAGGATGAATTTTTGTTTTCTCAGGAATGGAACTTACTTGTTAATAACTCAGCCCAAAAGTATATGCAAAATGCTTGGTTCAATATCTGTCATTCTGGCTCTGTAGACAATGAAATAAAATACAGACTTTTTGCCATAGATGTTTAGAGTTGAGGAAGACTGTGGATGAAAATGCCTTTGCACTTCAGAACCTGAAGAAAGTAAGTCTTTTTTAAGTAACATGATTTTTGTTACAAAATAAATTAGTCAGAATGTTTAGAGAATTTTTTTTTCAGGTAGGACCTATCATTACAGCACTTCTTCTGTCCTGGCCATTATATAGACGCCTGGATTTGTGTCCTCCTAAATTCAATGCATATTGTCATGTACCCTGTTGTCTTGGACAGCTGCATATCCATTTTTGGGTAAACATCACCCAAAGACAAAGTGAATGTATGTTATTCATATATCTCTCATAAATATTATTAATATTAGACTTTTCCAGATCAAACATAGTTCAAATCTTAATGCTCGCATGGATTTTTCCAGCAATTTGTTGTGTTATCTCACAGTCAGATGAGCCTGCACCTGTGGGAAATTATAATCAGAGAAAAGAGGAAGAAGAAAAGCAATTGTTAAAGCTCTCTCAGCAGCTGGAGAAACTTGCAGCAATCCTTGGCCGGGAAAATGAGATGAAGGACTCTCATGTGTAAGTAGCTGAGTAGCTCAGTCCTGTACCTATCTATCCAAAAATAAGCTCCATTGAGTTTAATGAGACTTTCTCCTAGGACTACAGCCTGAAACAGGCATTGTTTTATTAACAAAATTGGACTGTAGCAGACATGCTTACATTTGAACATGTGTATAGGTCAGGACCAATATAAAACCTCCTCATAAAAGCTGTAGATGAGGATAAGAGGGATGATATTTTGTGCCTTCTGGTATTATGTGTTTGTTATCTGTCTCATGTTTGAGGATTCAAAATATGAAATTGGGGAGCAAATGGAACCCGTGGTTCCTGTATCCTTAGAAAGGGGAAGACCTTGGCAATATTGGCTGAATCATGAAGGTATTGATATAAGAGATTCTTAAAAGACCATTGTTGGATCTAATTCTTTTTTGTTACACACATAAAAGGGAAAGCAGCCCAAAGACTCAGGAGGAAAATGAGGAGACTGAAGAGGAAGATGAGGAGGAAGAGGAAGAAGAAGAAAGTACACAAGATGAGGAGGAGGAGGAGGAAGCAGAGGACTATGATGAAGACAAACTAGGAGATGATTCAGCTATTACAAATTTTATCACTCTTGGTGATTTTGCTGCCCAGCAAGAAGGGGATCTGACATTTAAAGCAAGTGAAATGTACCTTATTAGGATCTGTGGGCCCACTTCACCAAGTGTTGCAACTGCGTAGCATCAGCTTGTCATTGTGGGGCAGTTGTAGATCTTTCAGGCCTGAATCATGCCTGATGCCTCCATTCAGTGTATGGACAACTTAATTTGAAGAAGCTACATAGCTCTGGTAACGGCGGCTGTTGCTAGACTAGCAAAGTTGGGCTGTGTTGCTACATGGGTGTGCTGTGCCAAGTGAGCTCATGACACCAACTCAGTTCTGCGGGTTCTGTCTCTGTGTGCGGAAATACTGTATTTTTCCATGTATAAGATGCTACTTTTTCTTAAAAACATTTACTTAAAAATGAAGGTGCGTCTTATACACGGTGGGGGGGAGTGCTGGGGGGGGACTGGCGCATATGAGGGGAGGTGGCGAGCGGGCAAGCGGGGGGTGGCATGCGGGGGGGCAGAGAGCACGGGCGGTGGCAGCTTGCATGCTGGAGATGGGTAGGAAAAGTGGGGGGCATCCTATACATGGGGGCATCTTACGGAAAAATACGGTATCTGCCATTCATTCTGACTGGAAACTGTAAAGATATGAACTGGGATAGTGACTAAATATGTCACTAGTGACCCCAGATACTTGTTTGGAGCAGAGAGGATTCTCTCCCTACCTCCCTAATTCTTCCCACTGCCACTGGTTTTTGATGATTACAAAAGTCTCATTGAACTTTTGCCCCCTAGCATTTAGTGGAACATTGAGAATCAAAGGCAAGTGGGCCACCCATGTAGCTCTACCCCTGTGTACAAAGAACATGCATCTAGATAGTAGCAAAGGGATGGAATACATCATCAAGTTTTGTATCTGTGATGCAACAGTTCCGATTTAATGATGCTGTTTCGATCCAGCCCAATTAAAATCTATAGAGATATTTTGAGTAAGTGGAATGGAACACAGCTTGCATTCATAGTTTGTAAATCTACAAGGCCATCTTCTGGTATGCAATATTAAACCATTTTCTTTCATTGATAAAAATAGCAGTCACTTTTTGGTGGAAAACAGCAAAATAGATTATATCTTTCATTATACATCCAGTGAATACAGCTGATACAATTTATTTAAATACTTGAGTATTAATTATTAGTTTCTGTTTTCATTTCTCTCTTTCTAATATTAAAGAAAGGTGAAGTCCTTCTCATACTTGAGAAAAAGCCTGATGGATGGTGGCTGGCTAAAAATTCCAAAGGGGAGAGTGGCCTTGTGCCTAAAACCTATCTAATGGTTAGTATACTTTTGTTTCTCTCTATAGAGTTTTAACTTTTTTTTTAGCATTATTGTGGACATCTTAAGAGCTGGTGTGGAAAGTTATAGGGTGACTTTGGGCCAGACACTGCCTCTTAGCCCAACTTATCTCTCAGGGTTGTTTTGAGGATAAAATGGTGAGGAGAAAGAGGATTACTCACCTGAATCTGGCAAGAATGAGCATTGTTGGTGTGATTAACAAACCATATGCAACACTAAACAGCTCATGCAAATTTCACTGTTTGTATGAGCTAAAGTGATATATTGTGGTTTTGTCAGCCAGTTTCTCCATCATGAGGAAGAGAATCTTTCCTTTGAGAAAGTCTTCACAGACTGCTATGGCTTCTAGCCAGTATAGCCAGTTTATTTGTGAGCCGCCCCGAGGCTTCGGCGAATGGGGCGGCATAGAAATTTTCTAAATAGATAGATAGATAGATAGTGCATTCCTCTATCCTAGCCCTTGAATTTACAGAGTCCTTTTAAGAGTTGTTTAAAAAATTAATGCAAGCAGGTTTGATTTTAAAAAGGAAAAGAAAAGAGAAGGCTGGATTGGAGATAGGTTCTTGGAAACATGATAGATAACTTATTCTGACTGTACAGTATGGCAATCATGATGTTATTGCATTTTTCTGAAGTTTTCAAAGCAGATTACACACATCGTCTCTGCAGTCTTTATGAAGCACTACAAAAAAAGAACCCTTAGTTACAGGGAAGCCTGAGGAGCTCTTCTGTTTGTGGAAGAACAACGCAGGATCCAGCTCAGAATATAATCACAATGGAGCTGTTACCTGAAACAGAAAATTCCAGCTCATGCTTATTCTTGCTCATTCCATTGCATTATGTCATTTTTTTACATTCCCTTATAAAATAAAGCGAGGACTTGGTTGATTATTGTAAACATGTTACCTTTGCAGATAAATGCCAAGGAAAGAGAGGGAGAAGAGCCAAGTGAAGAAGAAACAGAGGAAGATATAGAGGTGGCAGATGAAACAGGAGGAGCCAAGATCCTGAAAAGGTAGAGCTTTCAATGAAATGTATTATCACTAAGGCTGGAATAAACCCTTTTGGAATCCACCCCTCTTGCATTTGCAGACTTCCTCTCATGCTTGGTCAGGCAAGCCAAGGCAAGAAGTTGTCGTCAGACACTCACAGACCCCCAGTTGTGCAATCAGCAATTTTTCCCACCTGCTGCCGCGAGTGGTGGAGGGCACAGAAGAGGGGTGCTGCTTGCAGAGCATGTGGGACACATTTCCTGGCAAGCACTCCATGAGCACTTTGATTCTGGGTTGTTGCAAAGTGGACCAGATTCCAAGGAGCTGAGCTCAGGGATTTCCCACACCTATAGATTCCTCATATCTCTAATTATCACTTGTATTTTGCAAAGAGACTTATTTACTACAAAGCAGCCTTTATTGTCTGTGCATTCCCTGTTGGATGTTAGCACCATCCATCTGGTCCTTTGCCAACAGGGCCCATTTGCATATCATGATTTCATTTAACCATTACAGGCTCCATTTCTGAACAGTGCCAATGTGTGCCCAGCTTGTTGTGGATCATCATGTCATGCACGGTTCCTCTGAGGGTTAAGTAGTCCTTGCATAAGCTTAAAACAAGCCATGAGTTATTTGAGCATTGTCTAACCTTCAAACAACCCATGCTACCTGGGATCAAGTGACATGGCAAGCTGGACACCCATGGGGACTGTGCAAAAATGGAACCTGTGGACATGCAGTGCAACACAATAGCCACAACACAACACAAATTAAGCCATGATGAATTGTTGTGTCATGCAATCCGGGTCTTTATTACTAGAAGAGCAAATGGAAGGGAAGCTGGCTCAAGCTGTGTAAAATATGCATCTGTATAATAAAATCAGACTTGCAATAAAGATAGTTACAATGTATCATTTTTATCTTTTTATTAACATTTATATATTGCTTTATTTGTTTAAAAAGCCATTCAGTCGTGAAATATAAGAATAAGGAAAAAAAATCCGAAGTGTAGTAAAGAATTTATTTAAATGTAGCTCTGCTCCTCATTTCTCTTACACCTTTGAATGTATTTTCAGTTGTGCACTGAAAATTAAATAATAGAACCCTATACGTGTCTATTCAGACATCAGTGCTGTTAGATTCCGTGAGGCCCACTCCCAGGTACCTGTGCATGGAATTTCAGCCTGAATAGGGTGCTTCCATTTGATGTTTTTATAGCAATATTACCCTATCTCTTCACAGAATTTTATGGGGTTTTTTTAACTCTCCTGCATATGCCCACTGTTTCTGGTGTCTTTTTAATCACAGGAAATAGGTTATGGGGGGAAAAGGGAATTGCTACACAAGCTCATCTTTCTAATGCAAGGAGCCCTCTGTCTGGAAGCAACCAAATTTTGCAATGCAGTGCTGACATGATCTTACAGATGGTCATGAAAGGTGGGCAGGGAGTAATGAAACAAAGGCTACTGTAGCCACAGGACGAGATTATATAAAGATCCCAGCCTCAGCACACAGTTCAACGGAAGTCCCCTGCTGACATTTTCAGTCAGCATTGTAGGATTGGACAACCCATCAACAGACATACACACTGAGTGCTAATTTGCCTGTCTGATTTTACTATTTTTATATTTTAATCTGTGTGTTTGGTTTGTAATATATTTTTATGTTTATACCACTTGCAGAACAGACTCACACTGGAGTGCTGTTAAAAAGGCCATCACAGAGGTAAGCTTGTATTGTATGGCATTGTATTTACATGCCATTAATACTTTTTGATGGGACCCTTCTTTGGGTCAGAAACTTGATTTTGGGTATGCATCAAAGAAATAGGCATAGCAGTTCCATCCAACTTGTTACTGCATCTCTCAAATAGTCTGCCTGTGGATTGCTCAAGTAGCAAACTATTTGAAAAGAATGTGTACAGTGCTATTTTGTGCATGTTCACTCGGAAGTGAGTCCCACTGTGTTCAGTGGGGTCATTCACATGTACGCATGCATAGAATTGCAGCTGTGTAGTGCTTGTTTGTTTGGCCAGGAGCTCTTCAGGACACTTGGTATTCATTGACAGCTGCTGCGCAGTCCAGGGCCTTGAAGCTTAGTAGGCTCCTAAAGAACTGCTGGAGGAGACAGTGGTGAAAGGTAATGGGTGTTGGTGGCAGCAGGAAAGAGTCGGCATCAGCACCAAGGATGGGCAGCTGTGAATGGGGACTGATGTTGTTTCCATGCAACATCCTTATTTATTTTATTTTATTTGTAAATAAATAAAATTTATTTATTTCATTTTATGTTTAACGTTTAGCTAGGCAGATGTGCTGCATGGTAAAATACATGCTGCGGAGGCTTCTGCTACTACCAGCTGTCATTTTAATGCCCCCCATAACACCCTTTGGTCACATAGTAGCAGCCTCAGAGGCACCTGTGCAGTGTGCCCACCTGATTAAATGTTAGAAAGGAAAATGGGGACAGCTTCTTGCCTCTGCCAACTGGGAAGCCGTGGGGAAAGGACAGTGGAGTGGCCAGGCTGTTGGGGAAAGGAGAGTGGATGGTGGAACACGGGAGGTCAAGGCAGCGTGACAGCTGTGGTGCACTAGGGGCGAAAAATGGGATGGCAGCTGTGAAGCAACCTTGCCCCAAATACTTTCAAATCAGGCAGAGCTGTTGTTGCAAGGTAAGACAGAGAATAGATACAGTGAAGATGTCAAGGCTTGGAATTTCTCTTCTCTACTGAACAGAATAATACCTTAGATGCGCTGACAACTATGGGGGCAGTTCCTGCAGGATTCCGACCTTCAACACTTGCCCAGCTCTTGGAAGAAGGTAGGAGTTCCATAAAGCTATTTGATTAAATCCAGAATTCTCAAGAGGGTAGTGCAGGTTTCCTTAAGGAGGTGTGAATGTTTGCTAGGTGATGACTGGAACTCTGACTGCAGAATGTGATCACTGTTAATATGTATGTTTGTTTTAAAGTACATTTTTAATGTCACATTGATTCCTTTTAAATGATTTGGTCAGCAGTGGTGGTAGAATCCTTTTAACAGAGTTTTAAAATGTTTTCCTTCCATCATAGTAAGTGTGCTTCTTTAGCATAATTTTTAAAATGTGAATGTGATAGAAACAGATTTGTAAGCACATACAGGTATTCTTGCTAGCAAGCTAGGATTAGTGTTTGAATGTATGGACTTGCTCTTGCTGTGCATAAATCCACTGGACTGTGATCCTAAATGTAATTACTTGAAAGTAAGTTCTGACCTCAATAGAACTTAGCTGCCAAGTCAACGTGTTTCAGGCTGGGATGTCAGCTTGCAGCTGAGCTGTGCTGTGGCTTTGAGGTTTATAACTTTTAAGCCCCGTTGAAGACAAGCAAGAGGCGTAAAGGCATAAAGGACCATAAAACACTGAAAAGTGCATGTTGTTCTTCTAGGAATTCAGTTTCGAGCCTCTTACTTCCTACAACCAGAGCTGACACCTTCCAATCTTTCTTTCCGAGATCTAGTGTGGAACCCTGAAAAAGGCACTGTAAGTTTGTGTTCTTAATAAAACTACATATAGGGTAGCAGAAGATGAGGTATTATTAGATGTAATGCAGTGAAAATTTGGGGAACATATTAGGAAATAAATGTAGTTATGAAATTTACATTTTCTTTTTTTGTTGCATTTTGTAAGCCACTGATATTTTTAAAACAGTTGACAGTTGACTGTTTCTGTTGACAGTTTTGCAAATCACCTGATCTGTCAGACTTCAGACTCCTTTTTAAAAGAGGAATATGCAAGGGGTTAAAGGATTCTGTTTTGACAGGAAAATGTACCAGTATATAGGGTACAGTATCCTGGCAAAAATATATTTTAAACTCTCCAAATCTCACATCAAAAAAGGAATTCTGAGTTTGACATCTGTAAGTGGGAATCCCCTCTAGTTCTGAATATTTCCCTAATGTCAATATTGAGAGAAAACTTTCCCAACTGAGGGGGAATTAGGGATACCTGCTCTCTGTTCAAAAACCCTGAAGATCCTGCTGAGAAAGGGGGAACATGCCTTTTTTCACGAATAAGGTTCTCTTGTGGTTTTTGCAGGTATCTGATGGGTAGGCATGTGACACTTGTCAGGGAGAATATTGGGGAGAAAAGGGAGAAGGGAGAAAATCCTGCCTTGCAGCGTGGACTAGCCTCCCTGAATTACCTTGCCCTTTTGGATTCTACACAAATGTGGCAGAACAGGTTTTTAAAAAGGTGCAGATATTTGCACTCACTTGGGGGAAGAGGGTTGGCAACCACAGGCAGCCCCTCCAAGGCAATACAAACAAGAGAAACAAAAGATGGCGCCAGTCAGCTTTCTTAATCTCTGTCCAAAATATTTTGAAATGAAAAGTCAAACCACATGGAGGCTGAAACAGCTCTTGGTGGCAGCAGGGAGGGAGGAAACATCTTTCTCCTCCTGCAGTGCCTCCTAGGGTACCGGGAGGAGGACCAAGGAGATGGGATGGGGGTGCCTTCCCCATGATTACCCAATCATCTGTGTCATGTGTATTTTGGGTAGGGTGGCTTATCATATCACATGACCGCAGCCAATGTATGCCTACCACTTGATGCTTACATAGAAGCATAGAAATAGAGCAAGTCAGAAGGGGCCTCCCGGGCCATCTAGTTTGACCTCCGGCTCCAGCCGGCTCTGCTCACGACATGCCCACCATGTGCATGTCTAGCCTATCTTTGAACACCCTCACCGATGGGGCCTCAACAACCTCCTGTGGAAGCCCGTTCCATACCCTCGAGGTCCTAACTGTCAGGAAGTGTTTCCTGGCATCTAAATGGAACCTTGGTCCCCCGAGCTTTGCTCTGTTGGAGCACATCCTGCCTTCCTCTGCGAGGCAGAACAGGTCTCTACCCACCTCCATGTGACATCCCCCTCACATACCTGTATGTTGCCAACAGAGCATCTCTTGGTTGTGCCATAGCCAACACGGATCAAACACCACAGCTAGAGCTTCCATTATCACCTCCAACATAGCAGGTCCAGCACAGGCCATCCACACATTCAGCCGAGACTCACTAAGTGAAGAGATGTCAGGCTATGCATGTCCACATGTGAATTGGACCTGAGGACTGGTTGAGTTTGAGCATCTTACATGACCCTGAAGTGGCATGTAGCTCAAGCCACAAAACTTTGATTCTACAGCACATAGGATAGTTCTCATGGAGGTTATAAACCTGAGTTGGAGCTGCACCAGTACTGACTGCACATCACATTCATATCATTGCATGGAGGATTTCTTCACCCTAGAAAACGTTTTTTGTATGTGGAAGAGTAGAGGACAGGGTGAAGGAACCTAATGGGGTGTTCTTCATACTATGATAGTGTAGACAGAGCATGTAATCATGTGGTTCCTTAGCTGTAGTCTGAAGTGGTACAACCCAGGCAATGGTTTATGATTTCAGTGACAACTAAACCTTACATTTTAACTAGTTTAGTTGAAATAATAAAATCTAATGTAAACCACCATTCAACTGACCTGCTCCTATAGTATTGCAACAAATCAGGTGACTGATTGAGCTTGTTAGCTCTGCAGACTGCATTCCACTGTTGCAGAAAAAGCAGAAGAGGAGTGGTCATACAAGAGCAATGTGAGTGTGTGTTTGTGTACTTGCATTACCCATCATGTCCTTGTTTATATGTACATGTTTGTGAGACACTGATGCAGTTTGCATGTAATACTGGCAAATTATGGGTTAATAAAAACACATTTTGCTGCAGCATGTAACTACAAATTATGTTCACTGTGGGTGGTTTCAACCTACAACCTACACAATCAGACTATACTGTCTGGGTTTGGATGTCCTGTAGCAATTCCTGATCAACCTGACCTCAGGGGCTATTCAAAAGGCCTGTGGAATGTACATGGCACAAATCCTGGGTTAATTAGCCCATAGTTTGCTGGCTACATGTATATACTATTATCATCTGTCCTTGGGGAGCCATGAGAATGAAACATTATAGTTGTTGCTAATATACGGCCTGTGGATTTAGGACTTTTCCTGGTGACTGTGTGCGTGTGTGCATGTGTTTAAAAGAAGGAGGGCCCAATCTTGCAAGGAGGAGGAGCAGGGTGACTATTTGAAGGAAGGCCATCATGGGGAGGAGCCTGGGCTATTCCAAGAGAAAGTTAAGAGTAGGATCCAGATTCAAGATCCCAGAAATCACAATAAAGTGATTGGTGCCTTAGAATTCTCAGCCACCTGAAAGCTTTGTTATGCAGTTCTTAAAAAGTTAGGCTACTGGCTGACCATGATATATAAATCTCACATAATAGATTGATTAAAAGTGTTCATATTTCTGGAGAATTGCTGAGTATCTTAGAAATATTAGTCTAGACATAACATCTTGTTGTTTTGTCATTTGTTTCAGATTCAGGCAAGACCAACCCGTATATCACTAATTATGACTCTGTGGAACTGTAAAGGGATTCCTTTTCCTGGATTCAGCATACAGGTTCTCAGTAGACATGTTCGACTCTGCCTTTTTGATGGTAACAGAGTAAGTTCTACAAATCATTATAACATTATGTCCAGTGGGTGGAATCCATTGAAGTTCTTCTCCAGACAGAGCTGCTTCTGTCAGCAGAACTGTTAAGGCAGCTTCTTGCTGTCCATCATTGTGTTATTGTCTTGGGGTAGAGAAAAGCCCTGCAACTCCCATTATTTCCCAGCCAGCCAGTACTTATTCAGTACTGACAGATTAAGTCTTTTCCATGCTTTCTGGTTTCATTTTAGATCCTAAGTAATATTCATACAGTTAGAGCTACGTGGCAGCCAAAGAATCCCAAAACATGGACATTTTCTCCACGGGTAAGTATAAAAACAGAATTATGATTATGGGCAGAATTATATGATGCATTTTACATGAGTTTAGAACTGTAGTACGTGAAATGGTTTCTAGTACTATTCACTTATAATTCCCCAACCCAATCATTTCTTATTCAGAGAATGGAAATGAATCCATAAAAATATATACAAATGTGTCTCAGTTGCCAGGCTAAATACACATAAGTGTTGCAATATTACATGTTCTACAGAACCTACATCTTAGCCTGCATGACCAAAGCCTGCTTACTGAGAACCAACCAGATGTGAAATAGTTATAATTAGCTCTCCTGATGTTCTCTCTGTTTAAACAAATAAACATCAGATTGGATTGGGGTTCAGAATGCTTGTGGGGGTGTTTGCCTTAACTCTTTCCTGATCTCCCCCCCCACCCCACACACACTCATTTCCTGTTTGCCCTGCCAGGAAAAACATGGGCAAATAGCAACTTGGAGCCTGATTTTTGACTAGGAAAACTGCTCTGCCAGAGCCTTGGCCTCTATTTGTGTCCCCTAAAATTAGCTCTCTTTCTATTTCCCCCTTCTTAAAAGGAGAATGGCTCTTTCAGTATGGCCTTAAATAATTGTGAATTATATAGAAATAGAAAGAAATGTCATGTGCTGTTCAGCAGATGGCAGTATTTCCTGTGAAATACTGAAATTCTACAGCAAATTGGAGAGTGAGGAGATTGGCTTTATAGTCGGTAGTCTGCAGGAAAATGTTTCAAATGGTGATGTTTTCATTTATATCATATCTGTTTTCCTAAGGCCATGGAATAGGTCTGAAGCATGTCTGTATATAAAATCTCTGGTTATGTTTGCACATTTCTCTTCAATCGCACAGATTCCTCCAAAACGACATGTAGTAATGGAAACAAGATGTAGTAATGGAAAGTCATGCCATGACATTGTGCGCTCCCCCTTCCCTTTGTGGCTGTCAATAATATGGAGCAGGAAATGCATGGTATTATTCTGTGACATCATCTCTCTGTGTGTTGTCATCATCCGTATATGGGAAAAGACCTCAGCACAGGTTGCTGTTCTTGATCAGTGGAGGATGGAGCTAACAGGAGCAAGTTAATTTCTCCCTCCAGGAGAAGGCAAGGCTAAAAATGTTACGTGTTCCACCCCGAGAAGATGAGCCCATTTTGCTTTGCCTTCCAGGGAATGTCAGGGTGGCTTAAAGTGCTCCAGAGCTACTACAGTGAAGCAAAGCAAAAAGAAAAGAGTGAACAGCTGTCTAGCTTTTTTTCTCCTTCTCTGTTATAAATTAGTAGAGTGGAGCAGGCCACGTCTGGACTTTCCTGGGAGGGGGTGAATGGGCACAGGAAACTGCTCCAGGAATTTTCAGATATCAAGACCACTGCAAAATTGACACTTGCTGGTGGCTCATACTCATGGGTTGGTGCTCTAGTTTCTGTGAGCAGAACTCCCATTTCTGAGATACTCTTGATGGAAAAGAGGCAGGGAGTTTATTTTTGTCAGTTCCTCCTCCCCCTTATAGTCCCCTGCATATCCTAAACATCTCTTCCAAAGCTCCTTGAACAGAGGTGTGGTGGTGGGCTTTAGGGCAAAAGGGGAATTGGCGTGCAGACATATACCAGTTCCTGCAGTGGGAATCTCTGTTGCATTTCATTTCCTCTTGTGAGTGGCAGGAGTCTTTTCTTTAGTAGAAGAGCAAGTCTGGATCTAATCCTGTATCTTTGTGGTGAATAAAACAGAACGCCCACCTGATTGTACAGCTTGCCAAGCCCTTGAGGAGTTAACATTTTTATACCCAGCCGGACAGTATGGAATGATGCTGAGTCATGGTGACATTTAGGATTGAATGTAATGGTTTCTTTTAAAAGAAAACAAGGAAGAAGGATATTGGTGTTCTTGGAAATCTTTTAAAAACACACTTAAATGCTCAGACATATTTTCTGCTTTCCTCCCATGCTATAGATCACTGGCATCTTACCTTGTGTGCTTGATGGAGACTGTTTTATTAGGTCCAATTCTCCGTCTCCAGACATTGGCATATTATTTGAACTTGGGATCACATATATTCGCAATGTAAGTTCACTGCAGGTGACTCAGTACATGAAGCTGTATGAGAGACTCGGGGATTATATGAAGAGCTTAGCATCATAATCCACTGAAATGAACAGGCTTCAGAACTGGAAGATTGTGAATATTCCAGTGGTAGTGGCATATTAAAAAAAACCTTGCCATTCTCTTGTGAAGTGATCTGGTGGCTTGATCATTAAAGTATATATTTAAGCATAAAGGTCTCTGTCATTTTATACTTTAAAGCATTATGAATTGGGACATATATTAATAAATCAACATGATTTCAACATCAAACATGGAAATGATAATAAAGACCATGGTTATTTTAAAAATATTTTTGACTAGCTTATGAGATATCAAAGGACTGATTTTTTTTCTTTAACTTGCCATGTTTTATGGTAAGCCCTTGAACTTACTGCTTTGTTATCTATAGAAATGACCAGTCCTAACAAAGGAAAAAGACAAAGCAAGGCTTATCTGAGTATCCTTTACCTTGGTTATAGCAGGAGCTAGGAGATCAGTCCTCCATATATTTTGGACTACACTTCCTGTCAGCCCTGTCCAGTATGGTAAATATTTCACAGTGTTTATAGTTGTAGTTCAAAACATCTGGAATGTACCAGGTTGCTTTAGCTTCATCTGTTTGTAAGAATGAACCCATTTACCTTTGAGTGGGTAGTAGTTATTTCTAAGTTGGAGAGGAAGGAGAGTCAACCCTTGGGCTCATGCCATTGTGGCTCCAGCTACACACCTAGCTTGGGTATAGGAAGACTATGTGAGCCCCAGGGCTGGAGGGTGCCCAGGTATTTTACAATTTACCAGTCCAGATAATCAACTTTATTCACCTTACTTTTTAGTCAACAGGTGAGAGAGGAGAATTGAGCTGTGGCTGGGCATTTCTAAAACTGTTTGATTCAAGTGGATTTCCAGTTGCCTCCAGGTAAATTTTCTTTGTTAAGCCAGGTGGAGGGCAAAGTAGAGTTGAAATGCAAAGAGAACTTAACCAGCGGATTTGGTTGGCTTTTCCTTGGTTAAATGGTTAAGCCCTGTAATTCCAGTGATTAGAGCTCGTGATTTAGTAGCAGTAGACAATGCCTTCTGCCAGAAAAATAGCTTCCATCAGTGGAATAGTGAGGAGAACAATTTCCTCTCTCTCCTGAGCCCTTCCTCCCGCATGTACCCTCAGCATTACAATATTTTATTCATTTAATGTCTGTACCACCTGATAGGCAAAGTTCTCTGAGCCATTCACAAAGTAGAACTTGAAACTTATAAACCATACAAAAACTTTAAAGTCTGAAACAAAATAAAACCAAGATCAGAACCAGAGTAAACGCCAGCAGCAGTGCAAAGCTCTAAACATGTATTCATACAGTGTTTAAACCAGGAGGACCAAACTGGCAGGGGAACTAAAACAGGGTTTCACCTGGAAATAGGTACAGAGTAGCCTGTTTAGGTAGGGTGTTTGGGGTGCCATCACTAAAAAGGCAGTCTCACCTCTTGGGCAGAGGCACTAAGAAAGGAATTTGCATAGGAAGCAGCCCTAAATACATCATAGCTAAACAGCTTCTAGTAGCAAGAAAAGAGATCACAAATTTTAAACCCATCAGTGTACTTTTTTTCCCACAGTATTTTTTGCTAAAAATACTAGTTATACATAGATTCCTTTCTTTGTGCTGGAAATAAGCATGGAAGGTGCTTATTAGTACACATAACTTCCTTTCCTCCTCCCAAAATTCCATAAAATTGAACTCACTCAAGCTCACTCAGTATAGTATTGCGTCTAATTTAATTTTCTTTTTTTCCTTTTAAATAACCTTTTCTATGACAGGTAAGGTAGGGCCAAAACTGACTAATGCCACTTAATCATGATCTTTTTTCCACCCAAGTATTCTAATAGTTTCTGCATTCCAGGGACTCAGCCCAAGGAATCTGCTCTTGAGAAGTACTTTTCATAGTGGGTTGCAGATTCTTGAGATGAGATTAGATATTACTTCAAGAGCTGTTTGTTTTGAGGCTTGTGCTAAACAAGTTGCATGGCCTGAGTTTCAATGCTGAAATTTGAAGTCAAAGGATATGTATTTAGCCTTGTAACAGTTTCTGAGAGTGTTAAGTTTGTGAAGCAAGTCTTACACCTGCCACAGTTTGAAACTATAGTTAGAAAATAAAACTTGACATTTTCTTTTCTTTAAAATAAATACACTCAACAACTTGAATATGGGCTTCCTGTATTGTTTTATATTATTTCCCCAGTCCTGAATACAGGTTTACCTTGGCTTCGACAAAGGAACTAAAATGAGATAAGGGGGGATGGATTGTTTACTGAGTGCTGCTGTTTTAATTTGTAAACTGCATTAAACTTTCCTGTGTTAGCCAATCTCATGAGAAAGGCCTCTCTTCAGAACTTTCTGCCTGTCAGTTTTTAATATTCAGTTACCTATTTTAACATTCCACAGTTTAGATAGCTTCCGTTAATGTTATATTCCTAAGGTAGAGATACTGCATTTCCAAGCACTGGCTGCCCTGTGCTTTGTACCTAAGAGCATCTTCCCTAGCCTGGTGACCTTCAGAGGTATTTGGACTACAACTCCAAGAATTCCCATCCAGAAGGGCCATTGACTGGGAATTCTGAGTACCGAAGTCCAAATGTGTCTGGAAGGGACAAGGTTGGGGAAGGTTGACCTAAGCAAACTCTGGCTTTTCTTCTGGGAGACAGAATAACACATTGCTCTGCTGAACGGGTTGTGTTTTGCAAGTGTTGTGGGCATCTGTTTGGTACTGTTGGTGTGGAACAACTCAACCCTCACCCCCATCTTCATTATGTTCTACGTTTTTGAAAATTGCCTTGATGTCCTCTGTGGCTTTGTGCAAAGAAGGGTTTTGATATGGAAGCTGATTCGAGGGAGCAGAATCAGTACTGAGAAGACCCCCTTCCCTTGTGCTCACCTGCGTGGCCACCCTTAGTGGCAGGCAGGGGTAAAGGACCTCTCTTGTACTACGGTTGCATTGTACTACTGGCAGGGAACGGGAGCTGCAAGGGGGGATCTGTGTGTTTTATCCAGCACCTAGAATGCATTAGGTACTCTCAAAGGAATAATATTTGGTGAAGTTGGGAGGCATGTGACAATGATGTGCTGAGTTATATGGCAGGTTTAGTTTTCACTGTGGGGAGAGCCCTTTGCTTTCATGTAGAGGAGGCGGGAATGGAGGCTTGTCCAGTCTGGGCACAGGGCAAGGGCTTGCAACCAAGGTCCTAGCTAGAGCCATGTCCAGTGCTCCTGAGTGCATTGCCTAAGACCGGTGACAATCCTTTGCCTGCACGCATGGGTTGGCATTTAGAAAATATTCAGCTTAACAATAAAAAGTAATCCTGATGGTTTGAGTTCTTAATTTGGAAGCAGTCTCTCCCACAGCTTGAATTTTTTAAAGAGTTGCATTGCACAGAGGATCACAGAAAGATTCCATGGCACAGGAAGAAAAAAACGTGCGGACACAATGTTGCTCTTCAGTTGATACGCCAGACACTTTTTCCTCCATATTATTTTGTTTCCTGAAGAGCACTGCTTAAGATGCATGTGCATCAGCTATTTTAGAAGTAATGCATATTTCTTCTTCTCAAACCCTTAGAATTTTGCCTCTTTTTTCAGTCCATCAGTTGCAGTTTTTTTTCTTACTGCCCTCGATAAGTTCTGTGAAAGCCCTGAACAGTGCTGCTATCAGAATAAATAGTATTACTGTTTCCTTTGAGAGTTAGTGTGTGAGGAGGGAGCTGGAACTAGAATAGAAGTAAATTTCCTGCTATGACTTAATGCTGTTTTCACTGAAATCATGAGATATGCATCTGAAATTGAGCGGCAGGCATTTCCCCCCTACTTGCTTGTGGCCTTGGGTTGGATCCAGGGTTGATTTCCATGAGGAGAAAGGAGAGGGACCTTCCATGAGAGGAAGGATTCTGCTTGCAGAACATTCCTCCACCCTCTTTTTGGGGATCTTCTCACACCATTGCCTTCAGCATTCAGCACGATATCTTGATTCTTTGGCCTGATTCTCATCTAGCAACCATCCAGAGTTTATCCCCAACAACAAACTCTAGGTTATCTTCCTGGGTTGTTCATTGTTAACAACTACATGATTAAACCCTAATGAGTCTTACCACTTGTATCCTGGACCTTCCCTTTCTGCCTCATAAAGCAGCTGTGGGGACCAGCTGGGTGGATAGCAGTAGTTAGTGGTGTGATTCCAGCTTGCCTGAAAGAGGCAGTGGTAAGACCTTTGCTAAAAATAAGAATAAGAATAAAAAACAAAAATAAAAATAAAAAACAACCCTCTCCCTAACCCTACTATATTGGGTATTTTCTAGGTGGACTCTAATACTCCATTTGTGGGCAAGGTGCTGCAGTTGTGATAGCTTCCTAGCTCAGCTGGAAACTAGACTGGGGGAGTGTTGTGCCCTTGTCAGTTTTGTTGGACCTGACAGCTTTTGATACCCTTGAGAATGGTATCCTTCTGAGGTGTCTGAGATGGAACTGGGAGGCATTAGTATGCAGTGGTTCTGGTCATCCTTGGAGGTGCAATCTTAGAAAGCAGTGATAGAGTTTTATTTTGACACTGTGGCTGTTGGCCTCTGGTTCCCCTAAGAGTTCCATTTTATTCCCCCATGCTATTTAACATGTACATGAAATCACTGGGAGAAATTGCCCAGAGTTTAAGGGTTCTGTGCTATCAGTGTGCTGATGACTACCAACTCAATCTCTCCTTTCTATTGAAATCTGGGGAAGCTATTTTAGTTCCAAAAATGTTGGTAATGGACAGGATGAAGGCAAACAAATTGAAGCATATTCCAGATAAGGCAGAGGTGCTCCTGGTTAATAAAAGACAGATCAGGAATATGGATTCAACCTGTCTTGGCTGGGGTTACCTTCCCCCTGATAGGCTGACGAGGGCTGATTATAGACTTCCTTGTTACAGCAATTTCACTGCTGGGCAGAATTTTTTCTGGGCAGAATTCAGAGTGCTGGTTATGACCTATAAAGCCCCGTATGGCTTGGGATCAGGCCACCTGAAGGACCACTTTTGCATATGTACCTACCAGGTGCTTATGATATTCAGGAAAGGTATCTTTTTCAAGACCACCACCTTCAGACATGCGCTTGGTGGCAACATGAAAGAGGGCCTTCTGGTGGCCAGAACTCCACACCGAGAGAGCTAGGTTCGCTCCTTCTTTGCCGTCCTTGGACTGGCAGGCAAAGACTGCTTTATACAAGCAAATCTTTGGTGGGGGTGTGATTCCATTGAGGTGGGCACTGATTTTTAATTGTGTTTAAATGTATTTGTTTATCACAAGTGTTATTGGTGATTCTAAGCCACCTTGAATATCATTTTTGGTAAAAAGGCAGAGTACAAATCATTTAGATAAAGACTAAATAAAGAAGTAGTACTGGGCTCACATGTAATGACAGTTCATGATTCAATGAGATCTCATGCTCCTGTCATTACAAGTGGGTCAGGCCACTGTATGCCGTTTTCAGGGAGTGGAGGGGTTGTCCTGGGAAGGAGGGGGCAGGGAAATCCACTTTTGCCAGGACAAGTTGATTCAGCTTATATCTGCATCCAGCCCTTGCTAATTAAGTTGCTGGTACTGTATGATGACTGGCACACAATGGGGTGAACACCCTTTTTGGGTTGTGGCTTCTTTTAAGTCTAGTGTGCATTTGCAGGTGCAGAGAATGCCATCAAAACATTTCACTCACATTTATCACCGAGTTTAGAGTACAAATATGACAGGAATTTCTACAAGGCATATTATTAAGTCTTCACTTCCAGACAGGAAATAATGTAGAATTGTTTAGCACTTGATTTGGCAAAAGTAATATCGGAAACCAGATAAAGTGCTTCTTCTTCCGACAGTGATGATTTAAAAAGCCCTACTAATTCTGTTCAGACAGGACTAAACAGTTTATGTTTAGCTATTGTTGTTTACATTTTTAGTCATCCTTACCCCATGGAGCACAGGACAAGGTGCATAATGCCTCCCTTATGCTCACAACAACTCTGTGAGGTAGGATGGGCTAAGAAATGGCTACTTGCCTGAGGCCATTCAGCATGGTGGATTTGAACACAGATCTTTTTGGTCCAGTCCAACGCTTTAGCTGTTGTACCTCACTAGAGTTATAGTTCAAGATGGTTTCAGTAAATACGAGGGTAATGCACTTACTGATAGCCCATCTTTCTGCCTCAGAGGCATCCAAGGCAGCTTATCTCAACAAGTAGATGAAAATGGAAGTTAACAAATTAACCTAAAAACAAAGAGGAGACAACAGATAATACAGAAATAATATAATGGGGAATAAGAAAGAAAAACAAGTCAGTATCAACCATCTAAAGGACAAAAGTGTGAACAGATTAAAGAGTATACAAGGTCCAATTTATTATTAATTATTAATTTCATCTTTATACTGCTTGTAGCCGAAGTTCTCTGGGCAGTTTACAGTGAAGTGTAAAAGCAATTATATATAATAGATAAAAACATTGACAAGAATTAGAATTACTTTAAAATAACATAAAACATTAAAAACAATAAAAAGGCAATAAAAGAGACAATTTATGGCAGTAGATGTATTTAGATTGTGTAGGCCTGTACCTGGCCTGCAAAATTGACCATTCCCAGCTCTCAGGGCCAAGTGAAGTAGTGTTCCTGCAGATATGGGACTCATTTCTGTGCTGGCAAACACAAATGTGTGATGTAAAGTGTTAAAACACATATTTGATTTGCTAGTTAATGTGTGCATGTTTGCTACTTGATATATACACTGTAAAACGATTTACATATTTGAATGAACCTGCCTATATTAACACCAGGTCTTGTTAATTGCTGTAGTCACCTCAAACCCAGTGCTCTTTGATGGAATTTGTTCACACATGCAATTGCAAGTCATCAAGTGATTGCAAGTAAAGTAATGTCCATATATGTCAAATGTATGCAGCAGTTCTGTGAAATGTGGAATAAAGTCTGGGGAAGTCCTGGCAATATATGTGGATTTGTACAATCAGGAATCTGACTGTAAACATCCAAAATAGTTCTAAATGGTGCTTGAATGTCCTTTACCTATTATCTAAATAGCAGCACTTTGATCCTTTATTACAGGAGTGGAAGACCTTTTCCAGCCTTAAGGGTGAATTAATTCTGAGTGTGGGTGCATTCCAGTGCTGGCTGAGGCCTAAGGCAAAAAGGCAGAGTCAAAGGGGGGTACAGAACGAAAACAATAATGGGGAAAATGTACAGAAACGAGGGGATCATGAAACACTTGGTGGCTGGAGAAGACAGGGTGATTCCACAGGAGCAGAGACATCTGGTGACCAGTTGACGTTCCCTGCCCCCGTTTTTGTAGGAAGTGCTTCCTTCTGTTCACCCTTGTGTAGCAATTCAACATGGGAGCATTGCTTTGTCACCGTTTGACGGTTCCTTCTATTAATAATCTCTGTGACCTTGGGCAGGGTGACCCACAGAAAGGCCTGGGGTCACTTCTGGCCATTCTGTGAGCGTTAGATGAGAAGCAAGGGGAGAGGGAGCAGGAACTCAGCGCCTCTGCATGGAACTGTGTTGTGCAACTATCAGAAAAGCAGGCGGATTGCAGCGGAATTCGAAACAGAAGTAAATTTAGCACCGGCGAGTCCTGCCTTAGATGACATCCGTGGATATGCCCAGGATGTGTCTTTGCCCTCAACAAAGCCTGTCACCTGATGAATTTGATTGCTTGAGTCAGAGGACGATGTGATAGCTGCACACCCAACAGGGACTTTGGACTTTGGTTTCTCAAACACAGCTGCTCATTCCAAAGTATAAAGCTACTTCTGAAATTTTGTGAGTGTTTTGGAAGTAACTTAGGTGGGGGCTATTGCAGTTTTGAGGGACTGTGGGGGGGGGGCGGGTCTGTGTGTGTGCATCTTAACTAGCATTCCAGGCAATTACAACCTTAGTATAGAGAATAGTGATATTAACCAAGGGAGGAGGGAAGGGTACCCCAAATCACTAGAATGGGTACACATTCATCTACTTAAATAGGTGCCATAAACTGCCAGATGAAATCTGAAAACAATTTATTGGATATGTCTTATGAACACATATACTTATCAACCTGGACTCCCCTGGCTTTATAAATTTATATTGTTTTATTGTATTTTATTTATTTATGGTTTGTGAGCCACCCCGAGGCTTCGTTGAATGGGGCGGCATAGAAGTCGCCTAAATAAATAAATAAATAAATAAATAAATAAATAAAATAAGGCTATTATTAGGTCCTTTCGCATAAGACAGCATCTAATAAATAGTTCTCATATTGCATTTGGCAGTTTATGAAACCTGTTTGAGTGGATATGCATTTCCCATAAACACTGATGCCACATATATACACACATGGCACTAGCAGTTTTATTCTTATTTAAATACCATGCTAATTCAGAAAAGGGGTAGCATTAAAATTATAGGGATTAATTTCTAATATTTTGTCATTTCAAGGAAAAGCATTCCCCCACCCTCTCCATTTCATAAAGGAACTTACAGGTCTCTGTTTATATATTTTGCAGAACGTATGAGCTGCTTTTGAATGGTGGGACTCCGTATGAAAAGGGAGTTGAGGTAGACCCATCCATTTCCAGAAGAGGTATAGTTTCTCTCACCCTTAATCTGAAAATTAAAACGAAAATGAATGAGTGGGCACATCCTATGCATTATGACAGGAATCCTCCATTATTTTATAAAGCACCTCATATTGTGGATGTAAGTGGTGTAGACGTTTGAAACAGAAACCAAACCTACAGGTTCCTGTGAATGGCATACAGTTTAACAGCAAATGGCATTAGAAATAGGGAAGGTAAGAGATTATTGAACTAAAAGTTTTACCAGTTTCATTGTCTGTAGGCGGATCATCTGATTGTAAGAAAGGCTGATGAGCAGTGTTAACATTTTCTTAAAAGCAGTGAGTGTAACAGCTGTATAATATGCATGAGAAGGTAATGATTCTAACTGTAATGAGAAGCAAATGTGTGATCTAACAAGTAGGACAGAATGTGATGAATATAAGCCAGAGTAACAAAGATCGCTGTAAAAAAATGAGTAGGCTGCAAAAGGGCTGGAAAACAAAAATAAATGAAGGATTTATTTAGCAATATCGAGTTACCTCATTGTACATGTTATTTCTTTTCCTAAAGCCAGCAGTAGTGTTTTCCATCATATGATAACACTAAGGAAGCAACCACAACTTCTAGTAAAACTGAGGTCATTAAACACACGCTCCAAAGGCATACTGAAGTAAGTAAGCCAAATTTCCTGTAGAGTTTTCATGATGTTTAAGTGTTGTTACTTCTGTATATCTTTCATATAGGTACAGATGTTGTACCTATAAGGTTATGATTGGTTCAAGACCACTTCTGAGAATTTTTTACATGGCATCAAAAGCCTCTGGATTTCAAACTTGGAGTAAAGCTTTGATCAACTACTAATTGCTAATACTGTTGAAGGTCACCTGCTAAATACTGTAAATATTACTAAATGATATTGCATATCAACTGACAAATGCAAAATATATAAGTGAGGAACCAACAGGGTACTCTTCATTGTGAATCAAAAGAGAAGATCGTAAGGGGAAACATAATAAATTTTCAATTAATTAAAATTTTAAAAAACCAATACATTTTCAATTAACATAATTCAGAAATATGTGTTTAGTTGCTTGATCTATTACATTTACCAGTCTAAAAACAGGTTGAATAAAAGTATGTCTCCTATTACAGGAACATCAGATTTTAAACTTGTTTTAAATAAACAAGAACTTTTAAAAAAGAGGGATTCACTAATGTCTGGGAGAGAATGGGAAATGTGCCTTCTAAGATGATGATACATACAAAATCCATTACTTTTTAATGAGTAATGTTTGCCTCGGGAGTATAGAGGCTGATAATAATTAATTTGGCACAAAAGAAAAAACCTGGAAGGTATACTTCCCTTGCCCCTACTCTGCTGAGACCCTTAAAATCTTGAACTATGACAAATGCAGAATATACTGTCTCCTCTGGTTAAGACTTGATTCCTAAATCACTTTCTAATAATCTGAATAAACATGTTTGTTCAGCTGTCTTTTTTGGGTTGTTTAATGTTAGCATTGCTTAGCTGCCAAGGAGACCAAAGCAGCAGTTCATAACCAGTCAAAACAATATCTGTGTTTTTCATTCAGAAACTGTGCATGTTAAATTCTCTTCAAATATTTTAGAAGCAATCTTAATGGGCAACTTGATTTCTTTTGTCTTTTTCTAGTCTTCTGCCAGACGTATTAATTGGTAGCATGTGTTACATACATCTCATAGTGTTTTATCGTCAGATTCTTGGTGATGTACTCCTCAGGGACAGGCTAAATATGCAAAACGCAGGTGAGTGTGGTGCTTTTCAGATAGAAAAAAAATAGTAGCTGCTTGATTTACTTGGTCCCTTCATGGAAGATGTTTTCGAAGTAACAGAGATGCCCAGAAGTACAGCGCACAATTTGAACGGGAAACAGTCATCTGGCTCCCTTAAAGGGGGCATGGACTTATCTGGTTCTTGTAAACCCTTTTCTCTATGCCCCCTCCTGCAAATCCCACTATCCATTTTAAATTCATACATACTCAAGGTCTTTGAAATGGTTAAAGAACTACAAATTTGTACTAAATAATCCCCAGCATGCACCTTGCTAGATGGCACCCAGTGTTCCAAAGTCCCCTATGAAACACATTTTTGGGTTTTTTGCAAGAATTACACCAGCAAATTACAGGTGTAAGTGATTCACTGGAATCTTTTTATGCCCATCCCTTTCCTTTTTTTAAAAAAAAATCAGATACTAGCACACAATGATGTTTCTCAGGATATATTGCATTGATGCAGAATTGGCACACATCTCTCTTTAAAAACAAACAAATACACATATACCTTCTTAGAAGTAGATACCTATCCTGATCTTACTTTAAGAGACTGTGGGAGCATGCAAGAGCACATGGTCGCTACCTGCTTGTGAGCTTGCAGAGACCAAATAAGTCTATGGTTGTATTTATTTCTGAATACTGCCAAAGCTGCAGAATAACATAAAAAAAGATCATTCTCAGACCCAAGAACCTTACAGTATAAATATTGTAGAAGCTAATTTTAATGCTACAGGTAGCATAATCTTTGTGACTTGAAGTACTGTTCTGGATTGGTTTCTATCAAGGATAGTGCTTTTTGAAAGATCTTGCTACAGAAGCAATGACGATCCCATTTCTCTACATTCTACCAGCATATTTGGCGTTTGTTAAATTGTCCTTGGTTGATGTTCAGAATTTTAAAAAGCCAAAACTATCATTTAAATTCTTCTGCAAATTGCTTCTGTCTTACATAACGTATCACAGACACCTCTACAAATAACAAATGCTTTTTTGTCTCCCCACCCCCCACTGCATGCAGATTTGATTGGCCATCCAATTTTGGCAACTTTTCCCAAACTCATGGAGCAGCCGGATCTTATGGATGCACTCAGGGTTGGTGAAATGTATTGCTTTGCTAATCTGAAAGGACAGCTCAAATGAAAACTCATTTCTTTCCAGCATGAGCAGATTGAATGCTTTTGCATACCTCTGTCTCCTAGCTATTTAAAGCGGCTGCTCTGATGATGTTAGGCTTGGGTAAATATTCTGGAAGCAAAGTAAACAGAAACAGAAGCAAAATGCATAACATTTTCAGAAAGAGGCAGCTTAGGAGGGACTGGAATGTAATAACAGGGTGTGGTGTGTTGAAAGAAAAGCTCCAAAAGTTTGTCTTTCCACCAGTTATTGAAGGAGTGATTTCTGTTAACAACTTTAGTGATCTAATCTGAATATGAATCCTTTGGGGGAAAGCAGAAGGTCCTTATTCTGATTATTCTGTGTGGGTGCATGCATGCCTAAAAAGTAATTAAAGGGATTTATTTGGTAGCATCCAAATATTGAAAATGATGAGTTGGAAGGAGGAAGGAGGGAGATTTTCCATCAATTTCTCCCTTCTCTCTGCAGTCTCTGAAATGTTTCTCTGAAGGGTTGAAGGACCCTCTGGAGTGGTACAAGAGCTGGCACAAAAGGCTCAGTGAAGAGCATTGCTTCCTTGTGCTCCAGCAGGATTGCAGACCCGCCCCCCCCGCCCCCACCTCCACCCCTGGAGACGGCTTTTCAAAAGCCCATTGCTGGTGACAGGCCCGTCAAGGTGTCCAAGTGGTGCATCGAAGGGCTGTCACAGTTTCATCACCCCCCCCCCTTAGAAGTAGCACAAGAAAATTCTGCAAACATTTTCATCACAGTCACCGTCCCCATCATCATTTTGTTTTATTTTAGTCAGACTTGTGCAATTGCACAGTGTGTAAAATAGGAAGACTCACCTGGGTAGTACCTGTAGTGTGTCTGCTGTTAAATAGCAGCAAGCACACACAGAAAGGCAATGGAGAGCTTTCTTTTCTCTCTGCTTTCTCTTGTCAGTTGTCAGAAGGCAGGCTGTCAAGACAAACCAAAGCCATGAGTGATCTTTGCTCAGTAGTTCACATCCTTTGCAACGAGATCTTCTGGCTTTTGTTTTGGTTTAAAACTGACCTTTGTTAGATTCCTCTCACTTTTCCACCCTTTTCCAAGGTTCCTTGTGCTCATTAAAGTGGAAGAGTGTGAGCCATGTTTTTTATGGCAGCACTGAGGTTTGACAGCTAAAATTTTGGTTCTTTTGGAACGGGTTTCCTTTCCTTTTTCTTTTTGACCAAGCTATTCAGTTTGTTTTTGACAAAGTACTATCCTGGCATGAATGTGAATGTCCCTCTAAAAAAAAAAATGGGTAGATTGCTTCTTGCTCTCAGGATCCCACAATGGGGTCAGTCTTTTTCCTATGTATAGAACTTGGCACTTGTCCCTATTAAATTTCTGTAAGCTGTCCTGAGGCTTGTTGCAAAGGACGGCATAGAATTTTTTAAATTAAATTAAAAATTCAATTTAATTCTTTTGCATTCAGCCCAGAATGCTCCAACCTATCCTATCAAGGCCACTTTCAACTGCAACTCCACCTCCTTTCCTATCCTCTTCTTTAACAAGCTATAACTTTCAATTGCTATGTTCCAGTCATGGGAATCATCCCACCAAGTGTCAGTATGTCTCCCAAGTCATATTTGCTTTCAGCAGCCATCTCCCCATTGCTATCTCCAACCCTGTGCTGATAGGATTCTTTACGCTATTGTCATGATTGAAAACTGAACCTGATGCAGAACCTTGGATCTTTTTATTTTACTTTTTAGAGTGCCTGGGCAGAGAAAGAAAGCACACTAAAGAGATCTGAAAAGGTCAGAAGGCAAGATTTTTTTTCTTTATAAGAATGATATTTTATGCATACCTACACTTTAAAGCCTGATCCTATGCACTGTGGTACCACGCGTAGAATTGGCAGGGAACTCCTAGCACTAATTCATGGGAGCTATATCCCTCCCATTGTGTTGATGAAGGAACTTATGCTTCTTGTGCTGAAGTCATTGGCACCCTTATTCTGGGATGCAGAAGGTTTGTAAGCTGCATTGGAAGAGCTGCTCTGGGGTGAGCTGAGGTAGCCCGCGCAGAATGGATGTGATCAAAATGTTTAATTGAAAGCCTGGTTCACTATAATTAAGTATATGAATAACAACCCTGGCTAGGTTATAAGTGTAATTAACCACTGAAGTTTTGCTTTTAGTAAGTACAGCAAAGACAATCGGTCTGTGATACTGAAGTGTAGTAAAATGTGTGTCTTAATGGCTGACAGTGCACACACCCCTTATATAGGGACAATTAAGAAGGGCACTAATTTGATGTTTCTTGATGGTTTATTCAAGGTTGGGATTGTTAAAATGACTCGTCTGGATGAGTGAATTCTTCATCCTAGAATAACAGGCCTGTAGTTGCTGTTTATCAAGGGAAGAAAACCAGGTCTCAAACCTCATAGGTGGGGTTTGAAGATGAGCCTCTTAATCTTCAAGCTGCCAGGACCAGGGTGAAGTTCAGCTTGCTGTTAAAGATTATCTCTTTTGGTGTTATCAATCCTACCTGGTGGAGAAGATGGAGGATCCTTTTACCTGGCAGGCTGGCTTTAGTGTGGCAGAAATAATTAGCTTTGGTTCTTTCTGCCTCTTCTTCCATTTCTGAATAATTTGGCTTTTTAAAAAATAGGCTCTGGTTGTCCTTTATCCCGATAATGTATCCCCCAGCCTGTTATCCGAGCTGCTGGGTTATACTGAGGTCTGGGTTGTGTGGTTTGATTAGTAGGGTGGGGCATCCCTGGGTAAATTGTCCTTCTCCTTCATGGTCTCTGAGCACCCCATCTATGGACTCTGCACCTTCATGGAACCTTGATTTGGGAAGCTTCCATAGCTGAGATGTATTTGGCAGGCACTCGCCCCCCCCCCCCGGCTGTCAACTGTTATCAGATTTCTGCCTATTCCCTCTCTTTTCAACCACCATTATGGTTGCTTCATTGGGAACATTGTCCTTTCTCATCGTAGAAAACACTCACTCTTGGCTGAGAAATATTTTTCTTTCCTGACATGTCTTTTATTATTTGGAATTTTTGTACCTCTTCATTTATTTTAGTGATCTTTGATTGCTCTCTTGCCTCTGAGTCATATGGCCCCAAAGGCACACTTTCAGAAGTGTGTCCATTGCAACATCACACTTCCACCTATGGATGGTCACTCCCACTGCTGACTGTACCTGGGAGAGTCCCATGTTGTAGATCCTTTTCTCAAGGTCACTGAGTAGGCTGGAAAAAACGGATTGGACACACTTAAGGGTCTTCTTTGGAAGAGAGTGCTGGATATGGTGGAAGCCCCCCCACAAACTTGGGGAATCATGGTATCTGCCTTCACTGACTGTGTTTGTGCCATCTTTCCTTTTTCTGCTCTCCCGGCTGTAATTGGGCTGAGCAGCCCCACCAACACCAAGCCTCAGTCTTGGTGAGTCTCAGCAGTGACTAAAATATTGAAACAGGCCCATTCAGCTGTTCTGTTGGACCAGGCCAAGAAGAAGGAAGAGGAAAGGAAGCGCTCGGCACCTGGCATCTCATGAAGCACACATTCACCATGACTCCTCCCCCTGACCGTGTCCATTTGGAATTGGGTGATTTCATGTCATGTGACATTTATGTAACCATGCATGTAGCCAGTACCAACATGCTCTTGCAGATAAGCTCAGCTGGACATGCCAGTTGTGCCACAGATGAGAGTGGATCCCAGTGTCACATTCCAGCGTTTTTGAACATGGGGCACAGCTCATCTGAACTTCTTTGCCACTCCAGAGAACGTGGCCTGCTGACCACTCTACGCTTGAGCTGGGATTAGGAAGGGGCTCTTAGTGTCCTCCTGGCATCTGTCGCCTTGGGAGGTGCAGACTATGCTGCTGCCCTATGAGATTGCAGGAACCGAGATGGATGCAGCAGTTGTGCTCTCACTCCACCTGTGCAGGAGGCACATCGGCCGCCTTTACTCAAGGAGCTCAATTACAGTCTTACGCTGGGTTGCAGCTGGGTGATACTGGGTCCAAGCCATGCATTTTACCACATATTTCTGCTTGGATGTTGGAACCAGGGCTGATTGCTCTCTTGGTTGGGCTGTTATCTCCTTTATCTTACAGTAAGGGCACCAATCCATCTCCAGTAAGCTAGCTTGTTAATTGCCCATATGTGTGATGCACAGAGACCATGAAGAAGAAAACAGGTTGTTTACCTGTGATTGTAGTTCTTCGAATGGTGATATGTGCATTCACACAACCCTCCTGTCATCCCACTTCAGTGGCAGGACTTTATACTACAGGCATGGGTGGTATCAGTTCTGACGTTGGTACCAACACTTTTAGTTCTTAGACCATGATGTTAGTTTCAAAGGAACCGAGGGAATAGATGGAACCTGCTATCAGTAGACGGGGGAATGGGTTCCTGCCAAAAACCTCTCAGCTGTGGAAATTTTCCAGATTGAAGCTTTGCACAGTACAGAGCCCATAATATGTGCGTGCACAGGTGAACACCTGAAGAACTGCAGTGATGGGTAAGCAACCTGTTTTTCCTTTTTTTGGCTGCCCTGTATACCTTATTTGAAGGGTGGGGTATACATTTCTATAACCAGCAAGTAAAATACGTAGTTACGTAGATAGTAAACCAAAGTGGTAGAATTCTGGGCTACATTCTTTTAGACTGGAGATGAGGGGCCATGTTTTTTAAATGCTGGCGGTGAGAGGCCATGTTTTTTAAATGCTCCCCACTCAGGGTGGAGGGAGAGGAAAATAACTTCTTGTTTGTAGCAAACTAGCAAATTAGTAATTACCATGTGATAGAAAAAGCAAGGTGAGATACCTGGGTAATTTCAAGGATGTGATTATGAGTCGACTCATGGTGATTTCTGTACAAAAAAATGAATGTAACTTCAGGATATCATCAAGGAATAATGTAATTTAATTATTTTCATCTTTCTCTTCTTCCTTGTTAGAGAGACCAGGAATTTCTGAAGTCCGTGTTTGTCCTGGTGTACCATGATTCTGTATTTCCTCTCCTCCAGTCTGTGTTTCTCCCAGAGTACAAGTGGGCAGAAGAAGAGTCTGAAGGCACTCGCTGGCACATGATTGCTGATTTCTTAAAGAAGAACCGCGAAAGAGGCAGTGCTCTGTCCTCTCTGGTGTCCCCAGAAAGCCTTCACAGAGCTTTTGACGTCACAGAAATAGCATATGATTTTCTAGGAGAGGCAAGGAAAAGTAGTCCTTGAGGATGAATGCCTTTTAAGGTCCTGCATCTCTGCTAATTGCCATGCTAGCATGGCTCATTTAAACATAATTGATGAGGCCAAACAGTCATATTTTTATACTGTATCAGTTTTAAAAATAACTTATATTGGTACACTATGGGGATATTTTTATTCAGATTGTATGTTGGCTAGGCTATTTTGTAAAATTTTTATACAGTTGTAAAGATATGTTTGTTATCTTTGATAAAGCTATTTTCATTGTTTTTGATTGGGTTCCTTTATAAAGTTATCAGTGAGTTTTGATATTCCCTCTGGAGTTTGCACTATAGCAAATGTCATTTGGGGTGTCATCCAATATGGCTATGAATAACCTTCTGAATTCAGAGGATACGGGCTTCTGTTTGCTTGTGGAGGCAAGAATAGCCTCAAAATTTCTTTCCAGAAAAAACAGTGTGTGTCTTTTGTCCCTGCTTGCAAGGGGGAGGAACTGAGATACTGCCATGCTTCTCTGCATCCTGGCAGAGGCTCAGACTTCCCCTTCTCAACCCCCGGAATGCTTCTCCAGTGCCAATTATGAAGTTGCACTTAGAATTTTGGTGCTGCAGCCCCTCTGAAAAGGACTGTGAGGGTGGAGGGAGGGAGTTCCAGCTCCAAACGCCAGCATTTCCAGGGGCTGGGACTCAGTCTGACCTGTCCTGTGGCCTTTAGGATTTCATCCTTGCTGAATGTTGACACGTACTGCTAATCTTTTACCTTTGGATGGCAAGTGGTAAATATCAGAAACTCTGATTTTAACTAGTAAGTCTCTAGAATTGTAGTCTCAGTGTTAAGTAAATCACAGAATTCTGTCAATTGTTTATTTGAGCACTTTTGGACTTGCTTTGGTAAGTATCGGCATTTATGAGAAGCTGATGGAAATGAAGATATTCAGTCACCACTTGGAAGACATGTAAGTGGTTCTTAAGATTTGCAGGTAAATGTGGGATATTTCCCAAATGTTAAGAATTAACTGGCAGTTGTCAACATCTACAAAGAAACTCTCAAATGAATTGGCCAAAAGCAAGGACTATTTGGGGTCTGGTTCTGGTGTGAACATTTATGCCACCTTGGGGAAATTGTATTATGTTAAGGTCTTAGCATCAAAATGGAGATAATTTGCAATCACTGTAATGCTATCTGGAACTGTATGTGCTTGCAAGTTTTTTGGAAATCCTACCAAGCGGCCTTATCCCACAACTGTTAATTCCACTGCTGCTGGCTTGACATCGTAAGAACAAATGTGGCTGTACTACCATTGCTGTGCATAAATAATCTCGAGGGCCATACTTTCCCCTTCTCTGTGTCACTAAAGATCCTATCACCGGACTGTTGTTCGCAGAAATGCTGGTGTGCTGCTGCAGCTTTGAAAGACGATTTTGCTTTTGCAGCATACAAATCTTATTGAAACGAATGAGGCTTGAATCTCCCGAGTGGCTGTAGAAATGGAATGGTAATTTGCAGAGCAATTATTTTAAGATGTTTGCTTAATGGGCCCAAAACGGGAATGGCACCTAAGTTGAGGCGAAACTAGTTCAGCAAGGCTAGCCAGAAATAAGTATTTGTTGGACGCGTTCCCAATCAATTATAACAGCAAGACAATGGCATCCTTCAGAAAAGCACGTCAGTGTTACCCTTCAAACATTTAGAAAATGTGCTGCTCCTATGTTAATAAAGGGGTTGCCCAAACCCCAAAAGAGTGTGTGTTGGGGTGTGTAATTGTACACAAACAAATGCATGCACACACAGAATGTAGAGACGTGTAGGCAAGATTACTTTTTATCTGGGGATGTTTCACACATGACATTTTTGCTGCAGGGGTGTCTTTGCATGGAGATAGTATGCTCTTCCATGCATTGATACTGTTTCTGTGTGTGTAGAACAGAGGCTTCCAGGCATGTACAAATAGACACTTGAGCAATGTTCACACCCAATGAATTACATTGAAAGAAAAACACGTACCCCGTTTAATCCATAGAAAACATCCTGCATTCTCTGTCATAGAAGAATGATACCTGAAAGGACATGCAGCAATACCCAAAAATGTCATAACAAAAATGGAATTAAGGTACAATTTAGAATATTTAAATTTATTTATACTTAAAAAATAAATTTATGTGTATTTTTTCCTGGCCATGAACTGCCTCTAGTCATGCAGCAACCAGCAAATGGATAACTAAACTATTGGCACAGAAAAGAAAGAGGTAGTAAGAAAAGGTGGTGGCATTCAGTTCTCTTTGTGTCTCACAGTCTGTATAAACTCAAAAGCTTTAACTTCTTTGCATGAGCTTTGATTCCAACTGAATCAACAAAAGTAAAAACTGCAATGTTTTTAGTAGCATTGTGGAGACTCTGAAAATCACATGAAAAAAACTCCAGTGCCCACTAAAATGGCACTTCAGCCTGATGCCCTCCAGATATGTTGGACTTCAGCTCCCTCCCATCATCCCCAGCTAGCATGGACAATAGTCAGGCATCTTGTAGCCCAAACATCTGGAGGGTGCCAGATGGAGAAAAGGCTGACATAGAGGTTTCTCTCTCTCGCTCGGGCTTTCCTGCTTCTGGCGGGGCACTTGATCTTTGAGCTCATTTTGATGGGTTGGGTTAGCCTCAACATAGTCGATAATTCTCTCTGGATGCCTGTAGCTCACCTGCCAAGCTGGAAGTGCTTTCACCTTTGACGTCCACATGGGTGTGTCAGTCGATGGTATTTTAAGTTTCTCATCCCAGCAGTACTGCCACAAAGGTAACCTTGAGTGTAGTGCAGCTGTAACTACGGGATAGAAATGGATAGCAAAAGCACTGGAGCCGCTACTGTCAGCGCAGCACCTGAAACTATTCCTTCTGGACTGAGTGTTTTTAGAACAATACCGCATGCCTTAATCTTGCCAGAGCTGGTAAGTCAACTGACTTTTTAAAATTATGGTTCTTTTTCAGTCCTACGTCTTGTTTAACAGTTCCCCTGACAAATGCATGCTTCCCAAGTAATAGCGGCTCTTTGCACTGGCCACCTGCCGGACTGTCAGTCTGCACTGAGGGACAGTCAGGCATGTTGTGCACTCTAGTTGTATGAACAATTGCAGTCTCAATCCTAGATAAGGAAATCCATAGGTATAAGCGGGCTTCCACAGGTTTTTCACCTGATCAGAAATGGCATGGGCCAACCTGAAACACGTCAAGGGTGTTATCTAGCGGCCCACACTATTTTCATCCTGTTGGTTTCAAAGGGATCTGTATGCAAAATCCTGAACGGGATTCTGGGGCATCTGTTCAGGTTTATCAAATGATGATTGCTTCCAGATGGGGTCCTAACAAGAATCGGAAGAAACTGTGCAGCTATTCCACCTTTTTCTTGCTTAAGGGATTTTTCTTTAAAAAGAAGTAGTTGTAGGGAAACACAGGAGGGCCATGGGTGGAACACAAGGTCACCTGCATTGCCCCCTCCCTAAACTTTGTGCATGGGGCAGGGAAATCGCACATTAAAAGTCCCTCAAATAAATCTCTGGTGGCAAAGATTCCAAAAATGGGGCATATGGAAGGGACAGGAAGCCAAAAGAAGGACACCCAGTGAAGAAAACAGGACAACTCCAACTCAATCTCAGTGCATTGGTGGTCAAAAAACAAGCAAAGCCAGTTTATTAGACCAGTGAATAGACATCTTTCAAAACATGAGCGTTCTGGACTCTGGTTTCAGTCCTCGGTTGGCACTGTTCTGCCGCATGCTCCTGCGGTCTTTTGAGGTGTGTTCCAGGGGCAGAGCAGAGCTGTTAAGCTTGGGACCCTTTTAGGCAAAAGGATACTGGGGGCTGGCCCTACAAAGCTGCCTTCTGGTTCAGCCATTGCTCCATCCGGCCCAGTCTTGTCTTCTCTGACTGACAGCAGTTTGCCAGGATTTCCACTGGCTGATGCCTGATTCTTATGTGGAGAAGCTGGGGACTGGGCCTGCAAGCCAAGTCCATGGTTTGCCACGGAGGCTCATGATTATGGTTTCCTTGTAGTATTAGCTTGCTTGCTTGTTTCATTTATTTCTGGGGTCCTCTTCAGGAGAAACTCCCAGGGCAGCTTACAACACACGGATAAAACAGTAAATGAAAAATGGCAAAGAATGGTCATATATTTCAGTAAGTTTGCATCCCTGTGAGACAGATTCCCTGAGCAGCTCCCAAGTCTCCCTCAGATTTCAGCTAATGGCAGCTGGATTCTCTCATCTTTCTCTGCTTCTGGCTCAGGTGGGCCTGCAGCGCACATGTCGGACTGCCCTTCCATTGGACAGGAGCCTCTTCCAGGCCTTCATGGTTATCTCCTTTCTCATTCATTCAAAGAAAGATTCCCCAGAATCCAATGTCATCTGCCGATTTAGCCTTCCCTCGCTGTCCAACTCTCCTCAACCCCAGATGTGACTCTGGATGGTGGGGATGGTTGCACAACGTATCTGGAGGGTGCCGGCTTGGGAACTGTCCGCTAACTAACCACTCCCATGGAAGAAACAACAAATGAGTGCCCTAGACTATCTCAGCAGCCAGCTGCCCGACAAATAGGAATCTTTGAGTAAACAGCTGTGCTTCTCTAACAACGGACTGCTCTGCCACAATAGGCTATAGTTTGGCTCATCCGATTGGGGAACCACCCCTCTTTGTAACTCATTATCTCCTGGAGACTGGTTATTATAAGGAGGGGGTAGCTTGCCCTGCTCATGTAGGACTTTCTGGAATTATTTACAAGAAGTCTGGTGACAATAAGGGTATCTTGACTGAGTATCTCACGTTGCTGTCTGTGATGGGCACATGGAGCCGAGTGGCTTAGTCATGAATACTTTGCACGTGAGAGAGCAGAGTTGCTTAAAACAGGCAAGAAGGGCATGAACTTCTCGGGACATTGGAGACAGACGCCTGCCAGAAGACATACTGTTTCATGGTGCTCCCTGCATCTGAGCAGTGAGATAGTTCAGGGGTTCCGGCAACCAGGGCTGAGTTTATTTAGAAGATCTCTGGAGATTCATCACTGACTTTTCTGTGATAAAAGGTTTGTGTACATAGGCTGAACATAAGATGATGGTTCACAGCAATTACACACTAATGGATTTCTGATTTTTCTAGCGGCCCCCACCCCATGCTTTCTCCCAAATTGGGCTGAAGAGCAAAATGGTCCAGTCATGGACCATGACTCTGCTCAATTTTCAAAATCTCCCCTTTCTCTCTCGGTTCCTTGCATCACAGCCCAGCCCTTCCAGAAGGCTCCTCCAGCTCTCCGGTGATGCTTTTTTGAGAGCTGCCAGGGAGAAAAGGGAAGGAAAGCACAAGTCCAAGCAGCTCTTCCCTCAGCAGGTCTCTGTATCTGAGCCATGTATTGCCTAATGTAGCATTGACAATAGACAGTGCTGCATTAGCCACTTCCACACAGACTGAGCAGCTCCCTCAGTGTTCCTGGGCAACGCACGGAAGCAAGTCCAGGTGTGGTGGGCCAAGAAGTAAGCCAAATAGGCAAGATACTGTGCAGGGGCTCCAGTGTGGCCCTGAACATCTTTCCTGGCTCTTGCCAAGGTTCCTATACCACCTTCTTGTTTACACTTGATTAACAAATTTTCTTAGCAGCAGCTGGTATTTCTGCAGAATAAGTTTCAAAGAAGTTCCTTAGTGTGTTGGGGCTCAGCACCCAGCATTGCCTCCCACTCAATCTTCTGAGCAGGTTCCTTGTGCTTTGCCACACTTCTCATGGCAGCCGTTTTGTGGCAGTGTCCAAGACAGTTTTTAAATTGCCAGATGTGCCCAGAGCAACAAAGGTCACCTACCCTGGCTTATATTCAATAATATGTCTTGTCTTTCATACTCTGTCTCACCTCCTTCCTTCCTTCTTTTCATTCTCTTTTTTAAAAAGGAAAAATCTAAGCAAGAAGCCATCATTTGGTTTTATCATGAGATTTCAGGGTGCAGCTTTGCTTCATATGAAGACCTTTCACAGAGTTGCTGCAGCCTGGTGGTTTTCCCAGGGAGTTGTGTAATGTGGGGAGCATTGCTTTACTGAACTTTGACACGGGCAGGGCACATACATACAACGAAGAATGCTATTCAGCCAAAGTTGCTCCGCTCATCAGTTTAGCTAATTGAAGGAAATGAACAAATTGTGCTGGTAATAAAGATTTAGTGAGCAGAAACCTCAGCTCCACAGAGTGGAAAGGTAGTGCTCCTGTGATATGACTGACACACCTTACTTATCTCACCAGTTTGGAATGTCCATTAAAGTGGGCAGGCAATGCATTTTCAAGAAAGTAGGTAGAATAAAGACTGAAGCTGATCAGAAAATACGCAACGGAATCAACTCTGTGTTGTCCATCCCCCCCACCAAAGAAAAGCTCCAAGTGGCTAGATGCAAAGTGGTGGGATACAGATCTCTCCTGTCCAGAGTATCTAGAGGCTACAGGAAATGTGCAGGGGACCAAGAACAGAGAGACTAACACTAAAAAGAGTATTGAGCCAGTGATGGCTGCCCTAAAGTGCCACTTGGGTACTGGCAGATCCTTTTATTTATTTTATTAGATTTTTATTCAACTTTTTATTTTAAAGAACTCAAGGCAGCTTACATCATTCCCCTCCTGCTCACAATCTTATCCCCACAACAACCTTGTGAGGTAGGCTGGGCTGTGACTGGCCCAAAGGCAACCAGTTGGCTCCATGGCTGAACAGGGACTAGAATCCAGATAGGGCCCTGGGTTACTGACCATCCAGGAAGGAGAGGGAGAATCACCCATGGGAAGCCTGAGTTGAGTAGGGCACAGTGGGTCTTTCTGCAAACAGTCCACCCCACAGCTTATTCAGAGGTGGGTTGTGTGTCATGCAATGGCTGCAGGCAGTCATGGGAAGAAATTGCAAAGCAGTGGGATAGAAGTTGTGTTTCCTTTGCACATGCTACAAAACTCCATAACAGAGGCCAAATGTTGGTGCACTTGGGATGCATTGTGCAAAGAAATGGCAGTTAAATGTGTGGCCAGGTTTTGGCTGTAATTCAGGCGATGCAGGGGAAGGCATGGCAGTGCATGGCGATTGTCATGGGCGGCAGCTGAGTATAGGACTGCATGTAGGCGGCATGGAGGCAGACAGAAGGTTGTGGGAAAGGGCTTGTGATTCCCTTCTCTTGCCCTTCACCTTGCAATCCATGGTCTTTGTTGCTGCTGCTTAAATGGAGCAGGCATCTCTGGCCTGGGACACGCTTTTTAGCTCTAGTCCAGATAATGTCACTAGAAAGGCAATTCTATGGACACGGTTGTGGAGGCAGCCCTCACTGGATGCAGAAGGAAGACGGACTCAGCGGTGGAAGCTGGCATCTCCAGTGTCACGGATGCAAAGTAGCCAGGATTTAGTTTGAAAGGTTAAGGAAGGTGCTGCACCTTTCCCCAACCCAGTTCAGCATAGTGCACAGCTCCTTAAAAGTCCAGACTAAAACCCAGAGTGAATACAATGCCCTGCTGACATGGGAGTCACCAGCCATTACTGCCTATTTGTTAAGTCCAATAGAATTGAATGGGTCTACTTCTGTGGAAGTGGATGTTGGACTTAGGTGGAATTTGTATGCTAACTTACTTGGACAGGTCTATGGATGTGCCATCTGTGCATGTAACGTTCCTCTTCCTCGTCCCGCTTCTCCTCGTCTGCCTCTTCTTCTTCAGTGTGAGGTTTGCTGCTACATATTATGCAGGCTAGAACTGGTCACTAGAATCATAAACAGGTGCCCCAGGTGAGATATGCCAGGCAGGGAACAAGGAAAGACAGTAGATGGCTGAGATGGTGTGAGAAGCAACTGACATTTCACACAGCTTCTATTTGTCTCTGTAACGTTGAATTCCTTCCTCGCACACTTTCCCTTCAGTGTGTGCCACATCCTCCTCTGTGATCTGCCTTCGTGC